AATAACAACTTCTTTCTTTATGCTGATTCTACATCAGGGTAGAGAAACCTCAACACGTTGCTGCAACACGTTGCTGCAACACGTTGCTGCAACACGTTGCTGCTCCTGAGCAGAGCTGTGTGTTGCTTCAACAATGAAAATCATGTAAATTAAAATGAGAAATTAATTGATTGACTTCTGTAAATGGATCATATTATATTCAGAGGTGTTTTTAAGGTTGAGTGTGTAGACTTATAATAAACAATGCATGTTGCTGGTTAATAAACTTATATCACCAATAACGATGAACTGGAGAGTGCAGCTTTTATTTCTGTGCTGAGGTATTTAATCTTCATGCGACTTTAAAAACGATGAAAGAAGACTGGAATATGTAAACAAAGATAACCAGTTAATATAAAAACCAGTTAATCGGACACACCGGAAGTCGTTCCGTGTTGGCGCGTGCACTCTGCTCGAGGTTTCAGACGCGGTTGGTCGCTGCTGCGCGAAAAGCTGTTTTTGGACTTTTTAATGTGTATTTTTACTTCTTTTTTCCGTCTCCGCTCTAACTTCGCAGGTTTCACTCTGAAACTAAAGTTTCATTAAAACGGATCTTCATCCGGGTCGGAACTCAAACGCTACCTTTGTCTCAGGTTCGCAGGTAAGAGGAAGTCCTTCAGAAAACCGCATAAATGTTGACATTTTAAAAACACTTCATATCTTTAACGTCGTTTCTGTCACATGCCGTCTAATAATCATTTGTATTCTTTTGCTTCGTGTGTTTAGTCTCTGCTGTGTGACAGTTTTGTTAGCCTCCACTTAAAGTAATGTAGTCAAGCTAGCCCCCACGCGCTGCAGCAAGAGAAGTGATTTCAAAATAAAAGCGGCGAGCTGGCCAACGTGATTTCAAGATGAGCAACGAAAGAGATGAGATACAGACTCGTGCATAAATATAACAAAGGAATATAAATGTATGCAAAGGTAATAATTAGAAAGTAGCATTGATGCACATAATAAATAAATAAATAAATAAATGAGACTATGTCTTGATGCATTCTCAATCATCCAGGAAAGTAAATCTCAGAAAGTTGATTCTACTATGAACAGAATCAACTTTTGGAGAATAAGACTGTGTGTTAACATTAAAAACAGTCAAGTAGTGGTTTCTGAGTTCAGTGTGGCTGGAGAGTAAAAACTGTTCAGGAGTCGTCCTGTGTGGGTTAGGTCGTTTGGAGGCGTGGCCCCTGATTGACCTGAGGTGCGTCTGGAGGTCAGGGGGTTAAACAGGTGGTGATGTGAGGGGTCACCTGTAACAGCCCTAGTTTTCCTGAGACAGGAGGAGCTGATGATGACCTCACGTGGTAGCAGAGGGCAGCCATTGATTCTGGTCTGTGTTAATGAGCCTCTGCACAGCCGCTGTGTACCAACACCAGGCAGGAGGAGAGCTCTCCACTGAGGAGAGGTGCAAGGCCAGCAGCAGCTCCTGGTCCAAGTTTTTCTTCCTCAGGACACGGAGGAAGAAAAACTGCTGTGAGGTCGGTGGCGACGTAGGTGCCCGAGAAACCTGAAGGTGGAGACAGTTTCCACCTTTTTCCATTTATAATGAGAGGGAGTGGACGTCTGTGCCTCCTGAAGTCCATGATGAGTTATTTCGTTGGATGTTCAGTTTCAGGTGGTTTTCTGAGCAGCAGCAGCTACCTCTGCCCTGCACACTGTCTGATCTGTTAGAGATGAGACCAGCCACGGTGGTATCATCGCTATACTTAATGATGACGTTGGTTGGGTGGTGAGGAGGTCTTTGACCCTGGGAAGGTGGCAGAGGGGATGTTCTGGTGGTCCAGTTTGTTGATTTCTGGGATTTTAGTGTTAAACGCTAAACTGTAGTCCACGAGGAGCATCCTCATGGAGCTCTTCCTGTTCTCCAGATGGCTCAGTGCTCTGTGGAGGCTGATGGTGATGCTATCCTCTGTAGGCTGATTTGCTTTGTAAGTAGACTAGTGACAGGAGTGGAGGTTGAAAGCCTTTGTTGTCATTATACGCAGCTCCATAAAAGTGCACGTATGCTAGCACATTATAAGAAAGTCTATAATAAAATAACCATAAGACTAATATAAATACACAGACATGAGTTCAGATATTTCAGTGCAGATTGCTTTGGTGCAAGGTTGAGTGTGGTGATAGCTTCGGGGAAGAAGCTGAGTCTGTTCTGGCCCACATGGATCTGAAGCGCCTGCCAGAGGGCAGCAGGTTACAAAGATGGTAGCCGTGGTGGGTAAGGAGGGCGGGGTGTTTCTGGCCCTGCTGAGACAACGGGAGTTATAGACGGCAGACGAG